TAGTTATATAGGTTATCACGGGATGTTCGGCTGTAATGAATACCCTAATCCAACAATTGGAGTGCGGTTCCAGAAGGAAGGGGGGGGTGCAAGGGCAATAATAACAAGGGTGATATATGGGGTAAGTAGAGAGGTAAACCAAGACCAGTAGCATGCGCATGCCGATATGATCCAAAACAACGCAGTGTTGTAGGCGTAGGATTGCAAAAAAGAAAACATCCAAATGAAGGAGGAAAACCGCCCCAAAAAAAAAAAAAAAAAAAAAAAAAAATATTAAGGCTACCACTCAGGCCTAACGTCAACATGCCCATCATCCGTCAAAACCTTCCCACGATCCCACTCCCTTTTCTCCCCCCGCTTCACCCACTTCACATCCTCCACATCCCTATCACGGCCCCCCATATCTCTGTGGCCCCCGCCACCAGCACCACCATCCAACCCCGCAAACGCCCCATTCCCAGCCCATTTCTCAATAACCCCTTCATCAAACCCAGCCGCGCGAAGCCGATCTGCACCCTTCCGCCTCCACAACGCACGATCCCGCAACGCCTCAAGAGCCATGTCCCAGTCATCGTCCTCTGCAGTCGCCAGGCCGGCCACCGGCCGGCGTCGTGGCCTGCTGGGGCTTTTTGAGGTGTTGGCCGTGTTACCCTCGCCCTCGTCCTCGTCATCTGGGCGGACATCGAGGGCCGGATCGTAACCGGATGCGAAGTGGGCGTCGATATTATTGCTTTTGTTCTTCTTGTAGGCGCCCCTGCCTCGGGAGCGGAGTGGGGGGGTATCGTCGTTTTCTGCCGAGGGGGGGAGTGGGCCGATGAGACTTTCTAGCGGGTCTGAATCTGAATCTGAAGCTGAAGCTGAAGCCGAACCTGGCACTGACGGGTCTATGGTATCAACATCTCGCGACCGGGGTTCGGGGTTGCTGTGACGTGGTGAAGTTTGGGGAAGGGGTGGGGATTTCCCCGCCTCTGCAGCGGCCCGTGTCTCTCGGGATGTAGTAGATGTGCGGTGTTTGCGGGGGTGGTGCTGTTCGCCATGCGATTCATTTTTACCCTTTAGACTTCCCTTTCGGGAACTGGAGCGCTCTGGTGGGCGACGTCTAGTTCGTGACGGGGAGCTAGAATGACTGCGGTGGCGTTTTTGACGCCGGTGAGAACGGCGTTCTCGATCGTCATCGCTCGACCTGTGCTTGTCTGAGGAATGGCTATGTTCCGCATGCCGCCGGCTATGACTGCGGTGAGACCGATCGTCTTCCTTCTTATGGCGTCTCGATCTCGACGATTTATGTCTTCTCGCCCTCTCTTCATCGTCGCTGCTCTCATCATTCTCCCTTCTCCTCATTCTCTGTTCCCTCCGTCCCTCCCTCTCTCGATCATGCGAAGTATGTCTACTCTCCTCTTCCCTTCCTTTTTGTCGTCTAGAGTGTCCCCCACTTTCGTATTTTTTGTCTGTGGAAGCCTCAACCCTGCGTCGCTTCGCCGCTCTGACATCATATAGATCGCGAGCTGCCGTCGAACCAGACGAAGGCTCATGCCCATGTCGCAACGCCCTCATTCTCTCACGAGCCTCTTCCTCCTCCTTTCTTTTCAGACTCGCATTATGGCTGTCCGTTTCGCGCAGTATATTCCTCAGAAATCGGGTATTAGGCTTTGGGGCACGTGCGAAGGGTCTACAATTAAGGTCATTCCCGCGCAATAGTCAGAAAACGACACAGATAGAAACAAAGGTAGTTTTAAAAGAAGACAGCCACACATACCTCTGGAGTGGGATGAAAGCATTCATTCCCAGGGTAGAATATCGTAGGGAACTATCGCGTGCATCCTTCGCAAGGAGCTGGGCGACATATTCGTCGTCGTCGAGGTCGGGAGCATTCGTAGAGTCCGCCCCGTTCTTCGTAGACATTATACAAACTGACAGGCCATGTATAAAATAGATGATTCAAGTGGGAGGAGATATATATCGCCTCTGCACCTTGACGTATGTAAGGAGGGGTCAAGTTGCAGCCTTGGGCTCGGCGGGTTGATGTCGCTGGTTGGTTTATGACGGCTGATATTTCGAAGTTGATGCAAACATGACAAACATTACTGATTATCTCTCCTCGAGTGGTTACATCTATCTACATAATTACTAGAATGACGCTGACGCGGGAACATCATGTTTTCGACCATAGCTCAAATACCATTGGATGATTTCGTTGGTCTTTGAATCGGATATAAACCACTTATCTCTGTATATCGGCTACTTGCTTCTGGAAACGATGGAAGATAGCATGTCCACTACATCCCCCTCGAAAGCGCTGGCCGCTCTCCAGCAAATAGGCCCCGACACGCGCCTCTCAATTCTCAAAATCAGCGAACCAATTTCTACAACAACAAACCCAACCGGATCAGCCCAGTCGCCGTCCAACAGGCGCTCTGACGTGTCTACAGATGCGTTTGACAATCCAACTCCTGCGTCGCTGGAAGAAGATTTAACTCATTACAAGGTACGTAGGCACGCCCACACATAATCCCAGAATGTGCCATTGTAGAGAAAAGAAACTTCCATGACCTGACTGGATATGTTATGTGTCGTGGGGTTTAGGAACTTTTCGCGAAACTTCGTTTTTCATACATCGAGCAAGTCACGAAGGAGAAATTCCTGCGCGCAATCGTCGGGGACCCGCCATTGGTTGTTGGGCACCAAGAAAATATCGAGCTCGAAACCGAGTTAGCAAAGGTGAAGGAAGAACTGCAACGGCGGAAGGAGGATGTTAGACTGATGATTGAGGGAATGGAGAAGATGGGGAGGGCGCTGGCGACGCGTAAATAATACTCTCCGTTGTCCGATCTATTTTCATAAGCGCGTTTATTGAGATATTGACAACAAAACATTCTCTCCTGTCTAGGATACAAGAAAGTCCAGCTTCAGACAACACAATTATCCGACCTTCCGGCCTCAATTGAAAGCCTCGAATCCACGATATCTACACTACGCGCTGCAGCTTCGCAAGCGTCAAATGGGCACCAGCCTGACTCTACCCTTCCTTCGTCCCAGACTCTCTCGTTACCAGCCACCCTTGAACTGATTGCGGAACGTGAAGCAGAATTGGTTGCCATAGACCGGCAGCTTGCCTCGGTCAACTCGTCATTGCCACGGAGTACTAGAGAAGCTGACGCGATTGAGAGGGAATTGGTGAGACTGGAGAGAAAGAAGGTCAAGAGCGTGGCGCAGGCTACAGAGGCTCACAGGAAGAAGCAGGAAGGGGAGAGTGATGGGCTGGAGGAAATGGGGAGGTGGTATAGGGGCGCGGAGAAGGGGTTGAAAGATTTAGTGGGAGTTAAAGGATAATTGAAGCGGAAAGGTTCTCTCCTGGGTGGCTACATTCACGACTCTGAATGGTGTTCCAGGTTGTTTTAACTTTAGCAGGGTTACTTTTCAGGCGCTTATGCTTTATGAGTTGGCATAATTAGGACTCATTGGTGTCATATTCACATTATAAGGTAGAATGGCTAGCTTTTCTTCATTCTCATGAAATAGTTTTCCGATATTTATTTGATCATACATTAGGGTATGCCGGATAGCAAATAACGCCTCCCTTTCATGATTAACTCCACGCACACATCTACTCCTCGTCCTCTTCCTCCTCATCCACATCTCCTTTCTCACCAGCCTTGTTCTTCTTTCTCTGGACACGGCCAGGGCGTCCTTCACCAAATGGCGAGGTAAGAGCAAAATCAATGTGTTTCTGGGAGTCGAGACGGACGACGAAAGAAGGAACATTGACGATTTGCTTTCCAACACTGCAAAACGTTTAACACTAGTTAGAAAGTGCAAGACAATACACCGGACAGAATCGAATGGAATACACATACCGGATGTGTCGCTGTCTGATGAGGACACGGGCGTGGTGAATGGACTTGGCCAAACCGAGCTGGTAGACCTGGGTCTGCAGACGGCGCTCCAAGAAATCCTCGACCTTGAGCGCCAAGACGTAATCGAGCTTCATGCGGGACTCGTCGAGCACACCAACGCGGACAAGACGGCGAATCAAGGCGTTGCCCTCGAACAGGCGCTTGGGGTCTTTCTCGTCAAGAGTGAGGAGCTCACTATTAAAAGAATGCCTATTAGCGGACGCTCTCAATGCAAGATAATCATCCATAACTTTTCTAATTGCCTGAGTGGGTGCTTCCATACCGAGCAGCACGTCGAATCTTGGACAAGGTAAGCTGGACACGCCAGACTTCACGCTTGTTACGGAGGCCATATTTGCCGATAATTTCCAATTCGGAGTCACTAGCGAGGGAATCATGTTAGGAAATCTGACACAACGACATAAGCAGAGACAAGCTGCTGCTCAGTGGCCTGAGGATACTAACAGACGCGCCGACTCGTATGCTAAAATTGAAAGAAAGCGCAATTGTCAGTATATCGACGAATCTCCATATGCCAAGGATTGCAAGTGGTTACATACGGCGACGAGGGACCTTGTAGGTCTTGGAGTAGGAGCGACTAGAAACAACTCAAATATTAGAGAATCGCTCATTTTATCCAGCACAAGACGAGCATCCAAATACTCACGGGGCCATGGCTGAGGAGACGGCAGCGCAATCCGGTTTGTCGAGGGTGTGTCGTTGTCGGGGTGCGGAAGTAAGGAATCAGAAAAATAAAGTCGATGTTGGAAGTTTTGATGCGGCTCTATGGGGCTCGCTAAGACGTCGGTGGGCGATTACTTGTTTGGGCCAGAATTAGGGTTGAGCCCGCACACCGTCCGGCTAAGCGAAAAACCCAACCATCGCAGCCCGACGACGACAAGCTCTTTGCAGTCTGTCCGTAGGAAGAAGCACTTTCGACGTCGACAATCGCCATCGCCATCTGACTACCTCACATCCGTCAAGATGGGTCACTCTCACGGTCTGAGGAAGGGCACTCGCGTAGGTTTTTCTCTACTGTTTATTCTCTCCATTGATGAGTTACTAACATAGGGATGTGATGTTTTATAGTATGCCTTCTCCCGCGAATACAAGAAACATGGCGTTATCCCTCTCTCCACCTATCTGAGAGTTTACCGGTACGAAAGAATATACTCTGATTGATGCTGTTTTAGGAAATTTGGATCTAACTCCGGGTATATAGGGTTGGCGACATCGTGGATATCAAAGTCAATGGAGCAGTTCACAAGGGGTCAGTACCAAGTATTTCCTCAACGTCGGACCGCGATAACTGTGGAATCGATCACCGCTATAAAGAATTCCCCCCTCTACGATAAAATAGATCGATGCGCTGAGACATTTGTGATATTTATAGTATGCCACATAAGGTCTACCATGGCAAGACCGGTGTTGTCTACAACGTGACCAAGTCCGCCGTTGGTGTCATCATCTACAAGCGCGTTGGAAACAGATACATGGAGAAGCGCGTCAACGTCCGCATTGAGCACGTTTCCCACTCCCGATCCAGAGAAGAGTTCCTCCGCCGAGTCAAGGAGAATGCCCTTAAGAGACAGAAGGCCAAGGAGGAGGGTATCCACGTCCACCTGAAGAGACAACCTGTCGGACCCCGGGAGGCGAGAACAGTGAGCACGGAGGGAAATATGCCCGAGACGATCACACCTGTTGCATACGAGACGACTATCTAAAGAAAGACAAAAATTCAATTATCTGTGTTGTACGGGGTTTGGGTTCTTTTTTTTTTTCCCTTTTACGACTATTTTTCCTTTTATGTCACGGTGAAATAGTGTATTGCACTTGGTGGCGTGGAGGAGCGCAGCCTCTACACATGGTATCAATACAACCATACATCCACGACAAATGAGGAAATCAATTTTTTTGCCAATCAATGGTGTGATTCATATCCGTTGAGATTTTGCTTCATCAGTGGGGAGGGCCATATCACTTTATTGTCACAATGTTTTTCGTGGCCAACATCGGTTCGGTTGCTACAGGACTTTGCGGTCTTGGCCTACTCTTTCTGCTGGCGACTTAACCGACACCTATCCGACCCGGAAACAAACCCCAGTGGATTTCCTCTGGCTTCATAGCCTCATGCATTATGAAATCTTGTCGGCCAACACCTCCAGGTCGGTGCCATCTCCTTAAGATACGTACTGTTGTAAACTTTTCAAGGCTCTCGTATACATGTGAATGGCTAGTTTGATGAGCTACAAGTTGACAGCGTTCGAAGTTAGTATACTTCTCTTTTGGACGCCGCTAGTGAAGAGGGAATTTTGAAGTTCAATGAAGATGCGCTGTGTAGCTATGTTTGAATCTCCAACCCGATATTTAAGCTGAATTCGGCCCGGGGCCTCAAGCGGTTCACTTGCTAGTCAATGGGAACTATTACATCCTGACGCTTCAATCCATTCACTCATACTGTTCAGCACCATGATTATCTTAGTGTAGTGAATGCTCTCATATGTTAGTCTCCCCCCTGATATCTTTCTCTACTCCTCAGGCCAATTCGACACCAAACTTGTAGATCACATGATCATACTCAACGCGCCCGGTCGATGGTAAGTCCACGCGCTAAACCTCTTTGGACCTCGAAGCTTTCGCGTCTCCCAAGAACGCTAAAAAAAAAAAAAAAAAAAAAAAAAAAAAAAGATCTCAGGACAAAGATTCTGCGATCTCTGGAAGCGGTTTCACTGATATTCCCAGAAGAACACACCTCCAAGTTTGATATCATGATAACACCCTTGCTTTCATATTATTAATTCTTTTTTTCTTCTTTCCTTTCTTGTATCGTCGTTTCATTGTTACCCATCAATGTGAATAATTTGGGAGTGTTAATTTTTACATACCAAAGCTCCGGCTCCCGAACACAATGTCCTTCTCTTCACATACCCAGGACCCTACTGGGCGCACTCGCCTTGAAAATGAGAAACAAGGTTCGCGACAGTCTATACTGCCATAACAGCGAGAAACTGACGATGTGGTGGAAGCTGGTCCTCAAAAAACAGAAAAGCCTGACGCGAAATCATGGGCTCACTTCCTCGCCGGAGGGTATGTATTTCAACTCCGTACCTCATCTTCCTTTTGAATTTTTAGATGTCAAAAATAGAATGAACGTTGCTAACCAAGACTTAATAGTATTGGCGGGATGACCGCAGCTACTCTCACCTGTCCACTTGATGTCCTAAAAACCCGCCTGCAATCAGACTTTTATCAAGCCCAACTCCGCGCCCTGCGCGAGGCTCATCCCTTGCCTCAGTCAACCTCTATTCTTACCGTCCCTCGAAGTGCTCTACTCCATTTCACAGAAACTCTTCAAATGCTTAGAACAATACACGTCCATGAGGGGTGGCGGGGCTTGTTCAAAGGTCTGGGACCCAACCTAATAGGCGTAGTCCCAGCAAGGGCTATCAACTTCTATGTCTACGGAAATGGAAAACGTTTATTGAATGAGTATTTCGAATATGACCCGGCCACTTCACCTATGGGCGTTCACTTGACAGCTGCGGCGATGGCTGGCATTGCGACGGGAACAGCGACAAACCCCGTCTGGCTAGTAAAAACGCGGTTGCAACTGGACAAATCGAACGCTTCCAGCGTACCTGGCAGAGGGCGTCAGTATAAAAATAGCTGGGACTGCATTAGACAGACTGTGCGCCACGAAGGAATTCGAGGGCTCTATCGTGGACTGTCCGCATCGTATCTCGGAGTCACGGAGAGCACGATTCATTGGGTGATGTATGAACAGATGAAAAGGATACTCGCTACAAGGGAGGCCCGTAGGCTTGCTGATCCAACACATGTACCGAGTTGGGTTGATGATGCTGGGGCCTGGGGAGGAAAAATATTTGCCGCGGGCTTCGCCAAGCTCTTCGCTGCTGCCGCCACGTACCCGCATGAAGTTGTCCGCACAAGGCTACGGTTGGCTCCTACGGTGTCGGTATCAGGGGACAAGGCTAAGATGAAGTATACCGGTTTAGTCCAGTGCTTCCGACTGATATTCAAGGAGGAAGGAATGGCAGGCCTATACGGGGGTCTGACACCACACCTCCTCCGAGTTGTCCCAAGTGCTGCGATCATGTTTGGAATGTAAGTATTGAACAGCCAACATTCACGATTTACTCTTTTGGTATTTTGAGGGGTCTATATATCCTGTTCCTTTGCTGACATTCTCACCCAAACCTTAGGTATGAAATGATTGTGCGGCTCCTTGGTGCTACAGCATAATTGCTCTCCACTGCCATGTCCGCCTATTCGTTGCCAGATCGGCCGCATTTCCCTCCCAAACTGCTTCTATAATATCTCACGACGAACCGGATGGCATGTCTATATTTCTTAACACTTCTTCGCCGCCATTCCAAATCCCCACTTCTGTGTCTGCATTTCTCTACGGCGCTTCGGGTTATAATAGACATACAAAGAATCCCCCAGAAAGTAATGGCTATGGTGCTGAGGGATAGAATTTTCAAGGAGGAGGAGACATGGTTGCGTCTCGGTACCCTTGATTTGTTTATTTGTTTATTTGTTTATTTTTTATTTTTTATTTTTGCTGTAGAGCAATCTTCTATTTTATGTCCAGCTTGGATGAAATACTGTAATTTGTATCTCTATGTTTTGTTTTCCTTTTTCCGTTTTGAGGAGTCGGGGGACGGAAGGGCCCAAGATCTACATGATAGATGCAATGTAACTCCGTATTATCTGTGGGAAAGGGGTTGATAATGGCGTTTCCTGGGGCATCAGATGTTTTAACCTACGTTTGGGGGTTTTATTTCCTTTACTGTGTTTTCTTGCATCACTCGATTGCCTTGCATTTCAAGCCTGTGAGGGTTATTACTATTTGTTGCTATGCTTTATCCTTTTCTCTTGTTGATGACGTATCACTAGCGGCTATTGTATCATATGTTTATCGGACCGTATATTATTGTTCTCCATATTCCTTTCTTTATTTTTATTTTTATATATATATATTCGGTTTTTTTCTTTTCTTTCTTTTCCTAATGCTATCATAGAAAGAACTATCCGCCCCCAACCCCCATCCTCCGATCCCTGTGTAAATGCCGGCTATGGCAGCGGGCAACTAGTCGGCACCAGCTGGCAAGGCGAGCACTGCTTTTTACAACCCCCAGGTGCAGGGTTGGGATCGGGTGGCTTATTGCAATATCACGTCCGATCTGTTTGCTATGCTGCAGGGAGGTAACAGAACCTGGATGTAGAAAAGTCGTGTAACTACTTCGGGTCCGGAAATCGGGATCCAGAATACGTTCGAGCACATAGTTGGACCGGATGTTGAAGCCGATCGTATGTACCGTACTATGTGGCGCGGGAGTTTTATATTGACATGCACGGCTCGGTAATTGATTTTCTATTAGTTAGTATGTAGAAAAGAAAAAATCTTATATCTACAATATTAATATGAAACATGTGAAAAAATAAGTGGCTAAAAGAAATGAAAAAAAAGTAAGTCTGTAGTGATTAGAAGATTAAAATGAAAATGTCTAAATCAGTGCTCTGTGACACTTTAAGCTTCTCCGTCTGCATCAAATCTACAGTCTATAACTATCTCTCAAATAGTTAATCCTCATTCTTTCATGAATTCTTCAAAACCACCCGTTTTGCCTGTTGTATATCCTAAGATAATAGAGTTAGAATAGAAAAGCTTCCATTATCAGTTGAAGTACGGATCTCTTCAAAGAATTGCCCATTAATACATCTTAAACCGAGCTCATCAGATGATATTATTCTGCAACCTCTGTCAGTTAGCACTGATAATAGTAGATCAAGATCTTTGCCGCCAGAGCAGACGGGGCAGCAGATCTATGAGAAGGTGCAGCACGGCCAGTTTTCCATTCTAAATCCGAAACTACAGGCACCACAGGCACCACAGCCACCAACCTCAGCCAAACAGGCACAACTTGAACTTCTGCGTGCACAAAAGAGTTTCTGTTGCTTTCCATTTGTACTCCGTTATCCGTACTCCATTCATGGAAAGCCAATTACCAACCTCACCCTGATTAATTTTAACGAGTTGCGTGACTATACAGAAAATTGCAAGCTCAGTGCTGCAATCCCCCAGAAGCGGGCAGCCGCAGCATCAGGGACAAGATTGCGAACCAAAGATGCTGCAACGGGTTGAGTCCCGGAGGTTCGGCTCATGGGCTCAGGTCGCCAACCTCCAGGTTCATCACAGTGGTCACGGCTGGCTAGGGTGGCCTCACGCCGGCCGTCGTTACTGCCTGGGGATCCCCGCACCTCGGTAGTGACAGTATGCGTCTGAATAGAGATTTCACAACCAATAGAAAGAGTAGTTTGTTGGCCAGCTGGCCTACAAAACACCAATGAAATGAATACCTCTGTAGGTAGCTCATTGACCGGCGGCTGACGAATTCTTTCACACTCTACTCTGCACACGAACATTGGCATACTGGCCTCTGAACAGAAAGTGTAGAGTGCAGATCCCGGTCTTATTTTTCGACTGGGTACACGTATGTAGTATGTACCACATTCCCAATCCGGGTGGCTTATGCCACAGAACACAGAGTAGTGCAGATTTGACACGGAAATGTGCCGAGGATCGGCATAGGGGATGGTCTGGACAAAGTTAGTCTGCCGGGCATCCTTCTCAGATCTCAGACTCCGCTTTGGCTTCTTCAGAACTATCAAGCTGGTGTGCGACTCGAGTTGATGTCTTTGGTCTAGCTAGCTGTTACCACCGACCATTTCACATCCCTTCAGAGTCGTAGGGGCTGTACGTAATTTGTAAATCCGCAACTTTTTAAATCTCGTTAATAAAAACCTAACTCTCACCCCGAGCTGCGCAGATCGGGAGTTTAGCAACCACAGAGCGTCGGAGCACTAATCGGGATGACGAGTCTGTTAAAGAAGTCGGTCCGTGGCGCTTTCATTATCATTCCTGTCTCATCCCTCGCCTGTACTGAACTGAACTTCTTTCGAAATTTAAAAAGGTAGGAAGGAAGAGAGGAAAGCGTAGACCGGGCACAGGAACGGCTGAAAATATTAGATGGCGTATTTCGATAGGTTTCCGAGCTTCTTTTCCTGAGGGTTATCGACCGGTTTCGTGTATACGACCCTTAATAGAATAAAGCAAAACATGTGTATAGTACGTGCTTCTTCCACAATCAGGAGGGATAATTCCATACCTCTCTCTAGGCGCCTTTCCCACTTACAGATTGTACGTGCGCCAAGAATTACGTGTTCGGAGCTCTTGCCATATCCCTCCCTCCTATTGGATCGGAGCAGCGCCGCCATCAAGCCATGAAACTTCTTCAGCCTTGCCAAGACGCAGCTGCCGGAGTTGGTTCCATGGTTCATGCCCCGTGCCTTGCTTCTAACCCAGCTAAATAAGAAATTAATAATACACAAATACAGCCTGTCCTGTACGTACATACATACATCACATCATTTGTACTGTACTTTGGACTATTTCGATCGCTGCCTTTTCACCGTCTATAAATTATAATCCGTATGTGTCTTCTTTAACTTCTGGAAAAGCGATGCCGTGTAACCGATTCCTTTGGTAATCTGCACTCGAGGACTGCCGAAGAGAAAATATGATATCTTATTTATGACTTTAGAAGCCATTTTGCTGGGTCGCAAAATATTGTTGGCAGCCGGAGAAGTGACCTCACCAATAACTTTTGCCGAGTGCCCCTGGCCCCTTGGTTGAAGATGTAACTAATCCAAGCCACAATTCTGCAGTCAGTGCGGTGACAATGCCAGTATTCTTGCCTTCTCGTGTTCTCGATGGCCAGAAGAAGATCTGAGCGCAATTATTATTATTATTCCTTTTTTTCTTTCTATCTCAGTCTATGCAGGAGAACCACTTTTAGAACCTTAGTCTGAGAGCAGAATTTATTTCCAATCACTCATCTGACTATTACTCTCACAGAGGTGTATGCAGATCTCAAGCAGTCTTTAACATCATCAGTCAGAGCAAATCCTTCACTACTCTCAATTTGGAGTCTATAGAGTAGTATGATTCTGATTCTTTGACATCTCTAAGCTAGAAGGTTCAGAGAAAACCATCAAAACCTGATTAAACCTGAGTGGATACAAAGACTATTAGTCAAATATGTACTTTGTAGTTAGTGGAAAACCTCCTCCTAGTCTATTAATTACCCATCTGTAGCCAAGAACTGGCCCAGATTGTGAATGTAATCAAATAGATTAACTATGGATAGGTGTTCTGGCTCATAAACAGGCAGGTCTTCTCATGCAAGGCGTGTTGAGCTTCAATTGGCTGCGGATTTTTGCGAGAGCTCAGCACGCGTTAGTGAGGGAGGAAAAGTTCATGGAGTAGAGAGATTTGATTTTTAATATGCGTATGTCTCTGGTCAAGCTGCAGCAGAATGTTAAGGCCTGTATCAAGCCAATCATCTTCTGCAGGGTGAAATGGTCTTGCAACTGAGAAGTTTCAATGCAGCTCTGATATTTTTATAACTAGATGTGCAGGATCCAGTTTTGAAATGGATTAAATGTGCAATGGGTAAAGGAGAGCCTCGGGAAAAGTAGAACCAGCAGCTCTAGTTATCACTTCAGCATCCCGCTGTCTTGGCTCAGGTGGAACTTGAAAAATTCTCTGTATTCAGAAGAAACTCACAGATTTGACAAGGCATGATGAGTACGCTTGAGGTATCTTCTTCATGATTTGAATTTTGTACAGTTTCTTAGCATGTTGTGGACGATTTAATTTTCATTAAAGGTGTCTGGAAAAAGAGCCTAAATTTTTCCCTGAATGATGCAAACTCACGTCGCGGATTTGCAGACATAATACAGCAGCCTATAGTGACATTTGAGTCAAATGACTTTTTTTGTGTTTTTCCGCTGTACTTACTTAATTTCACTTATAGACATCTATCAATAGAAATTTATATGAAAGTTTGTCTGCAAGCAGAAATATTTTTCATTTCATTTTAATTAATTACAAGCATCAAACGCTCGCTTACGCTCGCTTTGCTGCTTGCGCAGCCCCCCTACCACTTTCACCCTCTACCTCTAACCCCCTTTATCACCCCTTCCACCCCTTCCACCCCTTCCACCCTCTACCCCCTTTATCACCACCACCGCCTCTACCGCCTCTACCGCCCCGCAGCCCCTCTCTATCACTTCCACCCTACCCTCTCTTATCACCCCTTTCACCCCTTCCACCTCTTTCACCCCCTTCACCCCTACTAGACTGGCCGCCGGGACCATGAATTTCATGTTTGGTTCCATTTGGTCTGGTCCCATACATTTCTTGGCGTGAATCCCGCTGGGACTGACTATTAAAAAAACAGATAAAGTGACTATATATCAGATCTTAAAATGAAACCATGACTTGAAAAAAATGAGAAAGTGGTTCCATTTAGTCTCATTTAGTTCCATTCTTAGTATAAAGTTACTATTTTTAGACATTTTAAGGTTTTTTTTAGACTATTTTTAATTTTTTAAAAAGTAACACTTTTTGATAATACTCAAATGAGATTTAAAGTCATTTAAAGCAATAAAAATAATTTAAATTGAGAAGTAGAAATCATAATCTCATTTGAAAAATATAATAAGAGTAGACAGTAAGTCTCACTGAGACAGTATAAGACTACTATCTAATGTTAAAACTGTGTAATAAGATCAGTTAAATTGATAATAAAACTATTAAAAAATCTGGTTCTGGTCTCAGACTAGACTGACCATGTGACCGTGTCTGAGATCAGAATCAAACTTTACAGTTATCATGTTATCTAAAAGCATTACTTCTGATCATAATTTATATTCATCACATTGATTTCAAATCCTGTTATTTCAAATATTAAAGATCTCAGATTCACTTTTCAAATAAAAATCTAGTCTCAGATAAAGAATATGTTTGAATTCTTAGTTACATTTTCATTCTGATTTCATTATTGAAAATGACATTAAATGAGACTATGAAATCATTTCTCACTTATATAATATCATAACATAGTGCTCATTTGTTGAAAATTCAACAGAGAGTATTATCAAATATCATTACTTTTTTAAACACAGATTATAATCAATATCATTTTAATTAAAAAAAAAAATGTAAAATATAAAAAATAACAAAAAAACAAAAAATAAAATAACAAGAAAAAATCACAATAAAAAAAAAAAAAAAAAGAGAAAGAAAAAAAGCAGAGAAAGAAAAAGATAGAAAGAGAAAGAAAAATTAAAAAAAAAAGAAAAGAAAAAGAAAAAAATAAAAAATAAAAATAAAAAAAAATTAAGATTATAGAGTTATAGTATTCTTAAAATATCTACTCTTCAGAGTCTTTATAATATTCATTATCAACTGTGTATTTCTCACAGTGAGAATAACACAGCTGTGATAAGTTATTATCTTAATACTATCTAATAAATAATCAGTATATATCTATATAAATATGAATAATTAAAAAATATACACTTAAAAAGTGTGATCAGAGTGAACTCTGCTATCACTTGAATAATATTAAGAATAGAATACTGAAATTGATGATTTCTCTCATTGATTTCACAGACAAGATGTGTGAAGATAATCTTAAGAAATATAAGATTCTCTGACTTCTGATAGAAATGAATCTTATAAAGAGACTCTATTTTCATCATATCAGAGACTGAGTGTTATCAAAAAGTATTACTTTAATACATATGTACTTACTACAGTGATTCACTCTCTGCATATATGACTGAGAGTTATGACTTTCTCACACTGCACAGCTCTCTCTGAGATGCTGCTGTTAATTTACAACTTACATAGTCTCTCAGTTCAGCACATACTGCACATATGCAGCTCTGTATACTGAGGCTGTGTTGATCATTATCATCTGACATAGTACTCACTTTTCACAGGCTATGTTTTGTTTGATTGAGAGAGAAGAAGGGATGCAACTGCTGTTTTATTTAAGAGAGAATGAATAATTGAATCTGTAGAAGATAATTTGATTTCTTCTGTATTTAAAATTTGATTAGTCTATACTCTTCAATTTAAGAGTTTCTGAGAGTGTTTTAATAGTTTTCATATCAGCTTGAAATTAGTAATTGATTGAAGAAGAGAAAAGAGAGAAGAAAGAAATGAGAACAACTTATCTTTATAATATGAAAACAGAGAATTACTGCAATTATTTGTTCTAGTAATAAAGATCTGTTTTCTGCATGTATCTCTGATACAGATTATATAATAACTGTATACAAAGAATATCAACAGTGCATGCATTGAATGAAGATAATATTACTATACAACACTGTAGCTGTTTCTGTACATTGCTGAAAGCTGTTAATATTTTCTTTGAGTCTCTTTATATTTAATAAGTCAGTAATATATTTCAATGCACTTTCTCTTTCATCATCATTATCATTATTATTATCATTATTATTATCATCATCATCATTATCACTATCATCATTATTATTATCATCATCATCATTATCATCATTATTACTATCATTATTATTATTATATTATTTCTGACTGTCTCTTCTATCTTTATCTCTCTTCAACACTTACTGAAATCAATCATATCATCTCTTTTCAAATATTCTGCGGTTCTGCGGATCACCAAGGCGCGTGAGCACTGTCACAGATTGAAGAAAGAGAAGAAGAAGATATTTAAGTAAGAGAAGACAGATTATAAGACATGTTATAATATCTTGAAGAGACTCTGTAAGAAAGTAGAATGATAATGATTTTAAGTAACACTTCTGATAGATTTAGACTGAACTAAGTATAGAAATAATATGAATAGTGCTGCCTGTGAGAGATTGAAGAAGAAGATAGTGAAAAGTCTTATACAGTAGCAGTAAGATCAGAAGAAGTTCTGAGAATAATTTGAGATCAAGATGAAGAGAGAGAGAGAGAAGAAGAGTGTTACTGTAAATAAGTAATGACAGAAGAAGATTGAGAGAGTATTGAAGTAGAAGATAAAGAAGTCAAAACTGGTAAGTTTTTTATTTATTAAGAGATAATGATTTTTGATAATACTTCTGTTCTCTAATTAATTAGCAGAAGCTGACAGAGAAGAAGAGAATTAAGGCCTTGTTCAGATCTTAAATGCACTTCATAATTTAGAATATTAAGAAGACAGTTCTGCTCTCTGAGCATGTCAATCTGCTTACTGCTGAAGTGAAATCTGAGACAGCAGATCAGAAAATGCAGGATTTTGAGATACAGGTTGACCTGGCTGAGAGAAAGTAGTGAGAACTCTTCTCTGAGAAGGCAGTGAAGAGAGATTTTGAAATGATTATCATCTCAGATAAGGAGAAGAAGAAGAAGAAGAAGAATGAGAAGTGAATTATAAAGAATGATAAGAAGAATGAGAAAGAGAAGAAAGATAATAAGT